AATAATATTCCATGGGCAAACTTAATTAGACTCATGTAACACCATGCGTGGAAAAAAAAAGGGTGTTGAAACCAGACTACGATCAAACAAAGCACCCCACTTATTAGATATTGATGGTGACACATGTCACACAGCTAATAACTGTGCAAAAAAATTTGCTTCATGTTTTGATAGATACTTAGAAGATTTGTTTGATGACATCTATTTTGATATGAAAAGCTGCAGTAAAAGAGAAAATTTTTTCAAAATCTGTGAATCCCTTGCCATTAAAAAACTTAAGCCCTTGAAGAGACCAGACCATAGGTGGGTGTACATTTTATGTGTTTTAGAAAGAATCAAAGATCTGTGGGATGCTCTTATTGCATTTTATTTTCACTACTTGGATAAAACTGATAAAGGGGATTATTTTTCTTATGTTGAAACTGTATACAATAAAAGAAAATATTCTGCAGCTCAGAAAAAAAAATTGTTGAAGGGGTGTATTCTTTGCTTGCATTCCCAACAACTCACAAAGGATGCTTTAGCTCGGAAAAAAAGAATACTAAATGGGTTATTTGTTATGCAAAACAAAACTTTATTGCATATGGCATTATATTCAGCAGTATTACCAGAGTTCAACACATATATTAAATTATTTGAAACAAAAAAAACCAATGCTTCATTTAATACATTCCAGTATTTATAAATTGATGGCAAAATTTTCTCTTTTTTTTTATGAAGCCAGAAAATATAGAGTGCACATCTTATAATGATTTATTAAAGGTTGATGTCACAAATCCAGAATTCCATCTACCTAGCAAAGTAATATTTACTGGTGCAGAAGCTTCCACTCTCCTGAAGAAATTATCAAAAAATCATAGCAAAGAATTCCAAATTTCTCTGATGAAAGCTTATACTAATACAGCACAGCATATGAAACAGAAATTACCCCTTAAAAATTCATATCTAATTAGTTTTACAGCATTAGATCCAGAGCTAAGAGGTAAAACCAGTACAATATTAGCTTTTGAAAAATTATCATCTTTTATGTCCCATATTTTTAGTGATAATGAAAAGTCAAAAGTAGAAGCTGAAATAAGGTTATACCAGAGTGATATTGTTATCACCAAAGAAATGCTCTACACATCTGATGAAAGTGGAAATCAAGTCAAGTGTACAATTGATAAATATTGGTCTAAAGTTTTTAATTTAAAAGAAGATTTCACAAATGATTATAAGTATCCTACATTGGCTAAATTGGTCAAAGCCTGCCTTAGCTGCTTCCATGGCCCATTAGTGCCCAAAGAATGCACTTTGGGCACTAATGGGCTTACACCCTTATCAAGATAGTTAGAAACTTTTTTGATAAGGGTGCACCTTCAAAACCTTAATTTCACTGATACTACTCCTGTCCTACTGAGATAAAGCTAGCATAAAGGTGCTGAACTTTCTCTTACTATATTCTAATGATTGAGCCCATTAGTAATTATTAGTAATGATTAATGCCCATTAGTGCCCAAAGTGCATTCAACTTAATGGATACACTTGTCACTGACTATAGAACCTCTCTTAAGATTGATTCCCTAGATGCAGTGCAGACTATTAAATATGATTTAATGGCTTCTAAAGAAACCTCATGTGAAAAATATGGCTCAAAAAATCCAATGACTGATCCAATTCACAAAGATCTCTTACTGAATATGAACAGAAGTTGGAAAACATATCAGGAGGACTTAAAAACATGTATTTCAGATGAGTCACCTATAAAAGTCTCTGAAAAACCTTCTAGCAGAAAAGCAAACTGCTTCTACCTCTGCATGTGCAGTTCTCTCGAGGAAATTTCTTCAACTGTAAATGAGGAAAATAAAAGTCAACCTTCCTGCAATTATGAAGTTCACCACAAAAGAAAGACAAGCCCACAAACATCAGAAAATAAAAAAAAAAAAAAAGCAGCAGAAATTAGATAATTTTTTTTAAAGAATTAATTCAGGTAATTTAAAATATTTACATAAAATGTAGTAGTTTATATGTTTGAAAATTTATGGTTATTAATTTTGCAAAAAAAGTAATTCATTGAACTTTTATAATTAGGTCATTCAATACTTCATAATTGTAATTTTTCATTTCTCTCCCCCCCCCTTCTCAAAACTCCAAAATGTTGGTAGTAAGTCCGTAAAAGTTTCAGGGGAATTTTTGGGGTCCCACAAACACCCCTGGAACCCTGTATAAATTATAACCACCATTTTTAAACCCCTGCAATCTGTGCTGTATATTCATAGCAAGATTTTTTATTATGTTTTATTCAATTTTTTAACCTTGCAGTTTTTGTGATTTTCTTTAATATTAGCATATTGTGCATATATGTGCAAGATGTTTGGTATAAAAGTGGATACATCATAGAAACAGGAAATGTACACATATAAGAGGCATATTTTGCTTATGCTTTAAGAGGCATATTTACTACGATATAAGTGGCATCCTACCAAGTCTATAAACGTGTTGACATTGTTCATAATTTTCCTTAATTAACTTCCACAATTAACTTTACTGAAGCTTTCCTTATTTATACTGGACTGCAGCAGGGATATCGAAGATTTTATTTCTATCCTGATTTTTGTTTGCATTGCTGTTAAGCAACTTTATGCAAAATTAGCCCACTAGACTTTGCAAAAAGATTTTTTTTCATTCCCTATGTAATTAATGAGTCTGTAATGCATAGGAAAATCAAAATTAAATAAGGATTGACCATTCTGATGATCCCTGAAACCTCTTGAATATTAATTTTCAAAGCTTAAAACTGATTTAAAGGCATCCTTTATGCTTCTCATTCATCCTTTAAGTGTCTATGTTGTTCTGAGATAAAAGGCCTTTCTTTATTCCTGTTAATAATAGGGTCCATAATGTCATCTTTAGTAACTGTCTGTAATTCAACCTCTATAGCCAATTTAGAAATTTCTTGACAATTCCATCTTTTCAATAGAACTTTCAGTGTTTCATGATTTGACACGAAGATCATAGCCAACTGTGTTTAGACTGTTGGTTTAAATTCTGATCCATAGACTATATGACATTAGAGATATTAAAAGTTGGTAATTAATATTTAACAATTATATTGAGATTAATGACTGAAATATTAGCCATTTTCTCATGGATAATAAGTTTTGAAAGTATCTCTTAATATGATGGTCCATTGGATGCAGACCTGACATTGAGGGGGCAAATAAAAATAAGTTTTATATGCATTTTGTCCGAGTACTGAAGATAATAGGGAACGTAAGAATTACTTTAGTTTGCAGATGTTTTCTTTTTTCGATTTCCGGTGCTCAGGCAGTAGCCGTTTATTTAACATTCTCAATGTACTGGATATTTCTGAATAGAGAACTAACTTTGATTGTAAAGTTCCAAACATTAACACAGAGTGCAAGTATTAATCTGACCTTAGCAGGGATAAACCCTGTTGCAGACTTAAACTGCAAGAAAAGTTAAAAATGAGATTATTTTATAATATTATCCTGTTAATAATCACCTATATAAAAAATAAGAAAACTCTAACAGCCTCTGTATTATTTTTTTGGAACCCTGCAGCGAAAAATTTCAGCTTCAGTAGTTGCAGCTTTTCTATTTATTTCAACTCTGCAAAAAAATTTTATTCAATTTACAAAATAAAATTATACATTTTATAAAATTCAACATTAATTTATAAAGTACACAAGTACACTTTTCAGATTCAAATTATTTTAAGTCAGAAGATTGATTTTCTGATTTGTATCTTCTACCCAAATTGTTCTTTATTTCTCAAGCAACTTATTATTTAAACGAGTCATTTGTAACATTTTTTTAATAGCTTCCTGAGTAGTTTTTCTTCTTTGTCTACATTATTTATGGTTACATAAAAGAAGTAAATTTGCTGCATTATGAACAGTTTGGATGACCCTTATCATTTATATTCCAATAAAAAAATCTATTTTATCTTCTAACGTTGATTATTATTTTTATTCTCATAACATTTAGAAGTACTATAAAAGCTTCTTTCCCTTACTCAGGATTTTATCGTATAAAAGTTTTTAAAAAATTTCGGAGTAAAAGAAAAATTAATCAAAATGCAGACATGAAGTATATGTAATTAAATATCATATTTTACATTAAAATCACATTGCAAATAGTAACCTGGATTGGGCAAGCAAGTTTTAACTAATTTTTTTTGTTCTCTTGCAATTTCATCACAGCCAAAAATCTGTTTTTTTTTTTTTTATTTATTTCGAGATTGGCAGCTGTGCCATGCTTTTCTTTATTTTTATTACAGTTAGTGCTGTATATGTCATTGGTAATGTTTTCGCTTTTTGCCGCGTAATAATCACCAGATGAAATAGTTAACCAAAATAAATAGGGTGAATCCACATATTACATTTAGCTATTACAAATTACTGTGAGTTGTACAATTTGCATTCTTCCCTCAAAGAATTTATTATTTCAATTCCACCCCCTGCATTTTAATTTTTGACTCAGCATAATTTCTATGTGTGCATATTGTAATTAATTTAGAAAAGCATTGCATATTGTAATTAATTTAGAAAAGCATATTGAATACATTACTGACTCTTTTCTCATGTAGAAACTAGAAAACATATAAAAAGAGGGATTTTGTGTTTTCAGAACCGGTCTTCTGTGCCTATTTTTATTTATTTATTTACCAACCATATTTTATGAAACTCTCCAATTGGAAATATGTATCTAGAATCAATGATTAAAAAATAAATAAATTTTTAAAAAAAGTATCCTTTTGTTTTGTGCTGCTTTTTTTGTGTGTGTGTGCATGTGCAGAGGACATATGTGGGTTATGTAAAGTATTGTGACATTTATGAAGATGAAACATTATGTGAATTTAACCTCACTCATCATTGTTAAGATAGCTATGATTAATAGTTTTAAGAGTTGATTCAGTTCTACTTAATAATTAAATTTTTGCTTGTGAATAATGTTATTGTATTTTACGAGGAATTTTATTTTTGGAATAATTTCAGGTAAAGAGTAATTTGAGAACAGCCATCACCATTCCAGAGAAGTCTTGGTCCCGTTTTCGAGATATATTTGCCGACTATGTAGATAAGATGAAAGAATTGTCCGAGAAATCAGCTGCAGGGGGTAAATGAAACTATCTCTAGTGCCATCCTGAGCAAAATCAATTGTACAGAGACTTTAGTAGTATGCGACACGTTCTTTGCAGATTCCGACTGTCCCGCTGGTGATTGTTTAGGTGCTGTTATTTGTTCCCGGTGAATGACTGTTTTCTTTGTTGCGTCGCTAAGAGATAATATTAAAAATAAAGCTTTGGCCCATGCTGTAGTGGGCCCCGTCGGACCAGAAACCCGGTGAAAATATGGATGCTATAGCTGCATTGTTTGTTTTTTTACGTATTGGTTTCTGATTGTTCATTTTGAAATATGAACTATTGCAGAAATGCACCTAGGTCAATGAGTAATTACATGAATTTGCTGTTTTAAGGAAACTTCTGTTATGATATGAAATGTATCCAAAGAATTTTTATTGATGGTAATTTCTGCACTGAACCGGTGATCATTTTCAGAGTATATGATATTAAGTTTGGGTTGACACTAAATTGTGTTTAATACAGAATTTAGTTTTTAGTCCTTTTTTTATACCGGTATATTCATGTTTAATCTCTTGTTACTAAAGTTATGTATGTTGTTTATTTCTACAGCATCTGGTGCACTGTGTCAAACTTAAAAAATAAATAAATAAAAATAAGTAAATTAATTTAAAAAATCCCTAAATTGTACTTAGATTTATTTCTGTAGAAATACAGTATTATGTAATTTTTTCTAATAGAACAGATTATGAGTGGTCTATTATGTTTACAAAATATATTTTCTGTTTCCAGATTTCCTTATTCATATTATTAATTGATTATACTCGGTATTTTGATTACCCCTGCAGTGTAGCAATTTTTTTCTACAAAGTTAAAATTATTCATGTTTTTGCTTTTAGCACTTTTGATATAACTGCTGTCTAATTTAAATGCATATATAAATAATGTGTTCTTCAAAAGCAGCCTGATGTTACATCACTATAATTCACCAGTGATGTGCTAATTCTAGCAAGATACTGGGCTTGCTTTTGTGGGTTTGCGTTTCTAAAGTCTCTGGGCCTTCCAACATTTGAATTTTCTGTACGTGCTGATGTCCGTAGCCACCAGCATTTGATACACAACATCTTTGAGTATACTCTTGATAGTTACAGGTCTGCCATTTTAGATATTTTAGTGAATGTAGATAATTTATTTTTAATCAATATCTGTTTTTAACTATGTGTTGAAAATGATTATGAAAAAAGATCATTGAGCCATAACCTATAAACTTGGGGCCACCATTAAAAATAAAAGAGGAATAATCAGTATGTTTCAAAGCAATCACTCACGTTATACAAACTTATCACTGTTGTTAAATATCTAGTGAACTGTAAATTATCACTTGTTATATTTAAATGTCTTTCAGAATTTGTATAATAAGTTAATGTGATATAAATTTGAGATTTTGGAAACGCAACTTGCCATTTCTAATGTTTCCTGACTGAAATAAGCAATGAATGCATATGGTTGCCAAAAGTCACTGGTATATGTATTTCTGTTTATTTTAATTGGTATGACAAAAGGCTATGTGAATATATTAGAGCAAATTTGAATTTAAAATGTCTGCCCTGGAAATGGGCTAACAGTATTACATTATTATGCAGTTATTATTTGTGCAGTATCTTGGGAACTTGGAATACCTTTTTACCAGCTGCTTTTCAAAAAAAAAAAAAAAAGGAAAGAAAGAAAAATAAACTGCATACTTTGTGTTCATGACCCATTTGCCTTCAAGGCATATTCAGCTCTATACTAATGTCAGTGAAATTTGTTGGACTTGGCTGTATTGTTCTAGAGCTTGATGAAACAGAAAGCTGCTTTTTTGAAAAGTTGTTGCTTGTTATACAACCTGAACCATTTACTGGCCTGATCTGTGTTCAGTGATATGATCCAAATCAAAAGAAAACTTTAAAAGTATGTATTTTCTCTTATAATGTAAAATTCTTGGGTGGGATCAGTGCAGTTATTAAAAGTGAAAATTACATTCACTGTAGTTTTAGTCTGTTAAAAACATACTAGCAGTCTTTCTCTGTATATATCAAAAGTCTTTTTTGAATTGACTTAAAATTAGGACACAACTTTGTACATTTTTATGGGCAGTTAGAACTTTCTTTAAGTATTGTTCAAAGATTTAGAAGCCACAAAGCAGATGCATTCAGTTATGAGATGCTCTTGTATTTTGTATGTAAATAATTCTGTGTATTAAGTGAACTTGTATATTGCCTTCAGTTTTTGTTTTCTGTAAGCTCACCTATTGGAAATAAGATTTTTTTTAATATTAGATTATCTGCATATGCTGTTGTTTTTTTTTTTTAAATAAGCAGTGTCTTAATTTCCTTAGTTATTACTTTATTTTAGTTTTGTGTCTTTAAATGAAAGTGTTTTATTTTTTCCCAGTATTTTAAATATTTAAATTTGCCATGTTCAGATTTTTGTTGTATTAGCCTTATGTCATATTAGTTAGAAATAATGAATTTTTGTTATCAGTTTAAAGGTTGTCAGTTATTAATTCAAGTAATTTTATGTGTTCTGTCTATGTTTTGCCCTAGTGTAATTGTTTTAAAAGAATAATATTCTATATTTCGATATTAATACAGCTAAATGCCATTAAAAAATTCATTTTCTTAATAGAAAACTATATGGTTTATCACCTTTTTCCATAGTAAATGACTACTAGGCCAACCTAGTAAGCTTGGCCAGTAGATGTGACACACATGGAAAGGAATTATTTCAGTAATTGGTCTGACTTTTTACTTTTGGGCAGTTGATTTGAAAGAGCTGTCTTTCAAAGGTATTTTTTAATGATCCTTAGGTGAGCTGCACCTGGCTTTCCAAAATTTCAATTAATCTTTGTCAAATGCTGTTGTTACATAAGTCTGTTTGCAGTGACAAAGAGAGTTATTTCTCACACACCGGCCATTGCTAGCTAACTTTTCTATAAGCAGTTACTGCCAAGCTGCTCTTTTTTCATAAAAAAAAGACTTAATTATAATATTTCTATGAGTGTTAAAATATTTTGGTTTTTACATATTTTGGACTACATTTGTGTGAACCCCTTTCCATTGTTAAGTTAACTTGGTTATTCTTTGAAAAGTATATTTCTCCATCTGTTTTTAATTATTTATCTGGGGTAACATAGCAATTACACTGCCACTCTAAAATAAGATGTACTAGGTTTTAAACACCTGGTAACATGCGCATCTAGAGGGTTTGAGATGTTAGATATTTGTTTGTTATATTGTTGTAAAATAAATGTTAGTGCAGCACTTAACAGATATGTTTTGTTATAATGCTTTTTCATTCTTTGAATTTTGCTTATGAATTCTTTGCTTTTTGCAAGGGCAGATTAAGAAAATATGATAGCATCTTATTACTTATTGCACTGCAAGATCATAGTGCTAACCAGATCCCGGTGTTAATAGTTATATAGTTGTATTTTTAATTTAGATTATATTTATTTGCCCAAAATGTTGAAAATTTGTGTTTTATTTTTATATATATATTGAAGATTTTGTATTCATTTTCTTACAGAAACCATTATTTAGTTTATTAATATTTGGAAAGAATACCTATATGTGTATAAAGTGTGAAATAAGTTGTGTCAAATTTGTTTTCATGTTCCTGATTTCTTATATTGATAGTATTTATTTTCTTATATTTTCATTTCCTTTTAAAAAAACAATATATATGTTTTTTCATATTTAAATAACAATTAAGATTTTTTGTATTCTTTGGAAGTTCTCATATGCAGTATGATTAGTTTAAATTTGTTTTTAAATAAGTAGTTGAACAAAAGTATGATCTCTTAGCGTGGATACTGAGATGAATCTTGTCTGCCCTTGCGTTTTGTAACTATGAAATAAGTATTCATTATACTTGAAAGCTAACCATGTTATGTTACTTTTTATTTCACCCACATCAGAGCTTTAAGAAAGAGATTAGTGGGGATACTGTTAAAACTGCACAGTTTTATGACTTATGTAAAACCATTTGTAGATATATTTGTGAAATTTTATGTAACTTACTATGTTTTAAAAATATTCCTCTATTTTTAGTCTGTATTTCTTTAACTACATACAGTGAACACTTATTTAATCATATCTCAAAACATATATAGTAATATGGTTTTGAAAAAAGTCATTTGGGTGAGAAATTCATAGTGTTTTTGCAATTTCTGTGTGGATATGTGTATGTGTGTTATATGCCTGCATGCGTATGTGAATAGATGTGTGTATTAGAAATTTGTTTGTATCCGGCACATTATCTGTTCTACACGTTGCATGAAATTGTAGTTTTTCTTGTTTTCAAATGCACTGATAATTTTACGACATTAATTAATGTGATATGTTACTTTCAAAAAGTTAATTGAAGAGAAAGGATTTGAAGTATGTCTATATCACTCTGCATTTCACTTTAGTAGTGTGCTTAAAAATAGCATGAAATTCAATCTGAAATAATTTGCATTCTCTCCAAGTGGAGTTTAATGGGCAAAAAGTATATTTGTCCTCATCCTTCTGTGAAAAGAAAACAAAAGCTTGATTAATTTTTAATCATTTTAGCAATGAATTCAGCATCTTGATTGTGTTTTTCACAGATTAGTGCATCTTTATTAGCACCATGGTTCCCTCTTTTTCTCCATCCAGTATCAAACACTTAACTATTTATGTCATGTATGGCAGGAATGTAAAATATATTTATATGAAATTTGTTCTTGATAAGTATCAAAAAGGAAATATTCTAATAATAGTAATATTTCACATTCCTTTCTTTGTTTGGAGTTTTCTGGAAAATTATATGCACAGGATATTTTCGTTGCAAAAAAAAATTGGCTTTTTTAGTATTTTGATTTAACCAAATATTCTGTATGAAAATGTGATAGAATTTCTTATGGTGTGTTTTTGAACAAATAATGGTTCAGAGACAGTAAATGCCAGTGTTGAAGGTTTTGTGATAACTTGAAATTGTGGCCCTTTTGGAAGTGCAGTGTTTTTTGCTGCTGAATGTCTTCCAAGATTTTATGAAAGCTCCAATACAATTGTGTATTGGTAACTCTGCACTGAATATCCATATACTTCTGATGATCATATGTCTGTGTTTATACAAAAATTTAAGATTAGTGCTGTAATACTAGATATGTTTTTTATTTGTAAATAAGTATATTAGCAGAAATACGGGACAGAATCATGTTATGAGAGGTTGTAAATGTAATATTTCTATTTACGTTATACAGAAATTTGTCAGCCATTTTCTTATTGAAATTCTGGGATCATTTATTGATGAGCATAGCTTCTGTGATTGCTAAATTAGAGTTTCTTGGATAAAGAGTTTAAAATTTGTATTGCAAGGTGTTTGGATATATTTGCAGTAAGACAAATAAGGTAACAAAATCCCCCCCTCCCTTTTTTTTTCTAAGATGTAGTGTGTTAAAAGATTTTCTATGTTATTCATCATAGCTTTATGGAACAGATATGTTCTAAAGTACGTAACTCACTAATCAATCAAATAGTTTTATTAAGAAACAATGGCTGGAGATGCAAAGCTAAAAGAAAATTTTCTAACTTTAATTTGCCTAGTAACTTCAGACTCATTTGCAAATATTTAGGAAAAAAGCGTTTTAATAAGTAATAAAACTGTTGAACATAGTTCTCATTTCCATTCGATATCGTGCTATTCAGTTCCATTTTATCAGAGAGAAAGCCATCTTGATTTAATCTGCTAAGCACTGGAATTTTATATATTGTGTATATAAAGTTTATGTAAAAAAAATTTAAGTAATAACAAATTTATGAGGATTTTATACTTATGTATATGAAATTAAATATTGATGGCAAATTTTTTGTTACTATTTTAATTTTTTATTGAATAACTTTTTTTCATAAGTTTTTAGTGTCTGCAAAATAGTCAACTGTTCAGTCTGTTCATTAACAATGAATTGATTATATGGCATAAATATACCAGCTTTTCCTAAGTAAATCTATCGCAGCGGAAAATATGCTCACAAAACATATGTTTGATATATTTAAATTTTTCTAGTTATAGAAAAATTTATATGGTTTCTTTTTATCCTACCTTTTATTAATAGCATTTAGTCCTCGAGGAAATTTGCACAGTATATGAGTCAAAACTGTACATACGTTTTAAATTGATTGAAAAGAATGAATCTTTTGTATTTATAAAACCTTGAATATATGAATTACATGAAGCCGAGAAATTATTCCTGAAACTAGAATTTATTTTTATAGTTTTACTTTATCAAAGGAACAGCTGTATATGACTTCTTTCTTCTTTTACTGAAAGCTCTTAGCTATGATTAAAATCTTTCAATAGCACAAAAACAGTAACAAGCTCTAAACATTTATGCAGAGGGGAAGATGCATTCAGTGAGCCTTCTTTGCTAAATTAATGTATCTATCACTAATGATTTCCAGAGGGTTTAAACACAGTGATTGTATATCCAGAGCTGAAATAGGGGTGAGGCACATGCCACAAGTAGCTAGAAGGAGACCCAAATTAGCTACGAAAATTTAGAAATCAATTTTTAAGAAAGAAATCAGTTATTAGCTTTTAATTTTGGAATAAATCAAAAAGCATCAAAATAATTTTATTGTAAAACAATCCAACTGAATCAAGAGAAGAATTAATAAAGATAATTTTTTCTCCAAGTTGCTGATGCCTTACAGTGCTATATATTATTTTCTAACCGTAAAATTTATTGTTAGAACTTATGTACTGAAGCTAATTTTTTACACTTGTTTACACTAACATATTGGGCTGCATAGAAAGTTATGCTCCTGACATCAATAATTCTGTGCTATCTCCCTTTTAATTTGAGCTATAGCGTCTTATTACTCTTACTGCGAAGTAATATTTCTAAACTCCTCTAACTGAAGATGGATGGCAGTGCAGCTTCCTACAATTTTTGCAACATACTTATCACACAAAAGCTCTGATATTTAAAATATTTATCGTATTTTTAATATTGTACTTCACTCTTTTGTATAAAATGTGTCACTGAACAAGATGTACAGTCTTCTTGTTTTCATCTTTAATTTACAGAAAGCTATACAATTGGTTTTGTTTGTGGTTATTTCTTGAGCAGTTGTACAGATAGCTGAACAGGCACATTAGTCAGTGTCATTATCTTTCTCTGAAAAGACTGGAATGCAAATATATGAAGAAAGAAAATGTTTCTTTCTCTTCCCTTCCCCCCAGTTTTATTGCTGATAATGGAGCCATAGAATGGATTGTTTAATATGCATGCCAAAGAAATTTAAAAAAAAAGAGAGAGAGAGAGATTTGTAATTGTGAATATTTTATCAAAATTACTGATGTTTTATGGTGTTAAGTTTTAAGACAAAACATTCTCACTACTCCTAATAGCTGATAATAATATTAAAGAACATGTTTTAAAAAGCTCAGTTTGTTTGTTTTTTCTTTTCATTTTCAAGTAACCAAATACAAAGAATATATTTAAAGAAAAAATGTGTTTCTTGCTAAAGAATTTTACAAAAACAAGATTTTTTGAATGATTGAAACATGTAGAAAGAAGAAACAGTGAATGTTCTAAAGTGATTTAGAGATTAGGAAAACCTGAAATCAAAATAATTTAGATCACAAAGTAGATTGCAAACTTGGTTATTGGCGTGAATAGAAATTAATAGAAGCACCTATAATATTCGCAAAATTTAATACAGAGTTAATAGATGAAGCAAGCTAAAGAGAATGCATGGAGCAATATTAAATCTTAATGATTTATAAAATAGTGCTTATATTGTAGGGATGAGGCATGGTGGCTAGCACGTCACACAGCAGCATCACAGGTCCAGGGTTCGATGCCTGGGCTGGTTGACTCAGCCTTTCGTCCCTTGAGTGGGTTGATAAAGTAAGTACCAGTTTCACTTGGGGGCTAAATGCTGGGGGTCCTGCGATAAGCTGCCACTTCTTCATGACATATATTCACGTATCCCAGGGCCCATGGTCAGGAAAGCAGATATTAGGGCATTGTAGGCCATGGCCCCCCTAGGGCTGTTGCACCGCTGTTTATATTGTAGGGACATGTACAGAACAGTAAGTTATAAGATTTTATCTTACAGCCACTCTATTTGTCATATTTAAAATAGAATTAGGTGGCACATGATGATAATTCTCAAATGGAAATAAGTCTTTCAATAAAAGTTCATATGACTGAGATATGCATCTTATAAAGACTACTACTTTAATCAATTAACTAAATAAAAATTTTCTTCAGGATGGGAGAAATACCAAAGGAACAGTCTCATGTTCAAGTTAGACATGGAAAAAGTTGTATGCAACCAATTCATCCACCATGAAGCGTACCTGGACTGGACACTTGCGAGTGAATTTTGCGAAAAACTGCAAGCAGTTCTAGCACTAGATGAGTATTCCAAAGATTGCATCTTAAAACATGACAGCTCACTCTGTTGGAATATAAATATTCATAAATTTTTGAAGAAAAAGTCTGCGAATCATTGAATTGGTCATTGTGAATATAACAGAAATTTCTGCGAACAACGCTCATCTCGCGATCATGTTTTTTGGAAGCACATCTGCGGAGAGCACAGTAGTTGTATGCAGGTAGATTCAAAAGGGTTTTTGCCCTCATATAGTGTTAAAAGAAATATAAAAGTTTTAACATTTTTATTTTTCAGTATGTTCTCCCTGTATTTCAGTAGATTTTTCATGTCGTTTAATGAGCAGCTGTTTGCTCCTGAAAAAGTAGTCTGAAGGTTTGACCTCTAAATGTTTCCATAACTGTTCTTTTCATGCAATCATCATCATTAAACCTCTTTCCACAAACGTCATATTTTACATATTTTAGTTTAGAAAACAGCTAATAATCACTTGAAGGTAATCTGGGCTGCATGGGGAGTCAAACTCCTTAAAACCCACATTGCTTCAGAATTCAGTTTTTTCTGAAAATTATAAGAAATAAATACAGTCAAAAGTCTTTAATCCAGACTCGTCGGGACTTCGGTGATTCCGGATTATAGATCATCGGTGTTTAAATCTGGTAAGATGGCATGCAGAAATTATAAAATTAAAAATATGAAATCGTAATTTATGAAATATAAAGCAATTATAATCTAAAGGGTATCAAAATTTACAAAAAAAAGCTGAATATTTATTTATTTGTTTACTTTATTAAACATTTCTTTCAACGCGCGCATGCTTAAAGCATACGTTACGCATAGTGGAAATTAGAAAATTGCAACCAGAAAACTATTTGATGTGTATTCGTGATATTTATAATGACGAGGAATTTGATTTAAATCATATCAAAGACGGAGTACGTCGAGATGAAATACTACATTTAGTGAGGAATTATGAGCCGAATAAAATAAAAACATCTGCCCTGAAGATAAGGATAGTGCTGACAGATCAACTTCCAGTTCATTGCACGCCATGACCTCCCCCCGCAGAGCAGCGTGAAATTGATAAACAGATTTGGGAATGGTTAGAGAAACAAAGGATATGCCTTTATCCATTTTTTGCAGCAATTCCACTTTTTATTTGATGGACATTGAAACATGCTTTCGCTTTGTAGATCCTTTGGCAGCTCCAGAATCGGAAATTCTTGACATAATAGAAAGTTCAAGCTTACTTTTATAAAATTACTCCAAGAGTCTGCAAAAAATAATAAGCCGGATTCAATTCTAAGATTAAGGAACAGCACAATCTGGAACATTAACTGAAATAGATAATTTTAGCTTAGCTTATACCATCTGTTATACATTAAACTTGCATGCGTAAATGCATTATGTGTTTATGCATGTGCCGAAAGTTTGTAGCTTTGAGGTTTGGATTAAAGACTTTCGACTGTACTTTTTGTTAATTGCTACCAGACGTACTTGTCAAATGGGTAAGATTACTGAATTAAAATAAAAAGTTGCTTATACATGCTATGTTTTGTCTAGTATGCATAGCACAATATTTATTAAGGTGTACCTGTATCAGCCTGCACGTTTTGCGGAGGCTCATTTCTAAATGTAGAACAAGTTCACACTATTGCATTATTTACGATCATGTGTCTTTACAACCTATCACTTAACTAATTGAACTGATTTTTTATGTCTATCATTTACGAATAATTTTTCACTTCGTGGAATTTCTGAGAGTGGCAATCTACTAAATTTACACTTTTATGTGATTATGCTTTTGAGTACCGTCCAATAAGTGTCGAAAGTAATTCTGAGGATGCTGTGCGCTTTGTTGCTCCTTACTTAGCTGTGGAAATCTTTGTCATTCCTTGGCCTTCATCAGCTGCTCTGTCTTGACTTAAAGTTGAAACTTTCTCTATTGTGGTGGCTCATCCTCCATCGGGTGATTTGTGTGTCAATTCTTCATTGGGAAACCATACTTTTTCCATCGCTGCGAGATTCCCTTGGCCCCTAGCTTCTTGTTTGTTGACTTTGTATTGGTCATCGCTGATTACGCAGTTGATCACTGCATCTGTAGAATCATTGTAACCTTCCTTTCTTGAACTTTTCAGTTGTCTAGTTCCCTCCCTTTAAGCGTCAATTGGCTTTCTTTTGATTTGACACACTTGAGACTTTTCACTTTCACTGTTTTGAACCTCCTCTATCCAGGGATTGCATTCCCGAAGTTCGTTTTAAATTCGCCATTATTTCCAAATAGTCCTTTGTTATTCCGATTAGTGATTCCTACAAAACATCGTTAGGCAGAAATATTTCAATGTGCTTGTAATAGTGCTTTCTTTGATTGTTATTTTTCTCATGGTTTCTCCATTAGGGCCCTTTGGCCAAACTATTGTCACCCTTATTCACTCAATCAAAAAAATTTACCTTCTGAAGCACATGTAGAAGAGTGCTTATTTTTTAAGACAGTGTCTCCTACATTAAAATCAGATTCCTGCCTTTTAATGTCAATAAAATTTGTGCTTTTCTGTATCCATATCTGAATTTCTAATCGCATTATTGATTAGTATCTGGATGTCTGCCATCTGAAACTCTGCAGACTGTTTTTGAACAAAAGAAGAGTTTTTTTTAAAAGCATAATTAACTTTCTAATAGGAAATAGTTTAGCTATCATCTTAGTTGAAATATCATGTTTAGCTGTAAATGCAAAGTCGTTGACTCAGCATTAATGATATTTTCTTTGTATAGCTGCGAATGATTTTCATGGTATTTGATTGCAGCTGATGAGAGAGCATCAGCTGTATCAGAGTATATCAAGACCTAAATATAATTCTCGAAGATTTGACTAACAAACTGCTTTCAGTTTTTTTTTAATTAATTTTATACGAATCCTATATTTTAAAATAAATTTATTTAAGAAAAAATCTGACACAATTTTAGATTTCTTTTGAAGAGAACTAACCCACTTCGTAAAAGAATCCGCGATTGCAAGTAAATATCTATTTCTACTCTTATCGCTACATGTGTTGAGACTTCATTGGTCAATTTCTATTAATTCTTTGAGGAAAGTAGCTTTTATACTATTTAGGTACCTGGCCGGGATATAATTAGTATCATTAACTAAATGGTAAACGTTGCATGACTCAACAAATTTTTGTAACTGTGGAGGCAACATGATTTATATAATCTCTGCATTGGGTTTTTCCCCGTACAATAAATTTACCATAGTTGTACCTTCCTCAATATAAACTCTCAGTTTGGGGCCTTATCTCATAACCTGGTGTTTGCTAAACAGTTCTGCTTCTGACTTTCAATATGGGGAACTATTATTTTTATCACTTTCAGACCCTACTTTTCACTACAGAGAATGCTTTTGCAAAGGCAACACTTTGAATGTAAAATTCTCACTGCTTGGTTCACCCAACAAAATTTACCGATTCCTTTGTACTATCTCAGTGTCTCTCCTCGCAATGCGATGGTAGCTATGGTGACCTCTGTATTTTTGCCACTTGGCAAAGCAAAAAATGTGACTCCGAAAAGGTTACTCTGGAACTTCTGCCATCAAAAGTTACTGCGGGTTTCATCGACGTTTACATTGTATCCACGATGACCCCAAAACCTTTCATGGGATTTACCGGTCTCATTGGAGCCTGTGATCTTGGAAGGGGGCAGACTAAAAAATTAATTATCTTGAGCCTTTTCTGCGTGCGCCACTATGGAGTTGGCATAAATCTCCTGACAGACTAAAAGTCCATTATTTCTTGATCTGAAGTAAGAACAGTATGCCGTTGAAAACAACGTTTTTATTAAATCGGAATTTAAACGTAAAATCCACATCTAATGCTTACAAGTCATCCTCCACTTATAGCGATGTAACTTTAAAGTAAGAGTCAAATTCAAATTTAACACGTTGAGTGCGGCAGTGAACTTTCCGTGTGGAATTTTCGTTTGGCTGGCGTCGGTCTGCAGGACCGACAGTATTAAAGTTAAAAAATAAATATAGTTTCAATGAAATGT